GGTGAGTCTCAATAATTCTGTACCCAGTGCTGAGATGCATAGGACAACACTCACTGTTCATTCTCGAAATAGAAACGCCTGTCTCTATGGTCATCGCCACTGCTCGGACTATAGTCTAAGCGATAGTATGGATAGTCACACTCAAAACTGATGTTCTATAATTACTCGATGTAAAATTTTCAATTCTCTTGATGTTAAGCCTAGTCAGAGAAATTCCTGTGTGATAGGAAATGTGACTGAATATCTTTAATTTCTTTGTCCTCAATATCTCAAACCTGCATAGCTATGTAGAAACATGATTGTGACAGGTCACACTTGTGTTCAGTTCCTGGGAGGTTCTAAATCACGATCTTTTGGAGCTCAGCGGCATCGCTCTCCTCCCAGGGATGCAGCTCTTCAACTTGTCGGATCAAGGCTTCATGTTGGTGACTCCTGGGCTTAATTGTGGTCTGAAACTCGTCGGGGCGGCTAATAATGCCAGGTAGAGGATTCACGATTGGTTCGATCTCACGACCAGACTCATCCAAGCCCTTGCCAATTTCAAAAACAGCTAAAGACCGTGCAATGGTCAGCCATACAGTTGAATCGGCAATGTACCGGCCGGCGCAGATACGGCGCCCGTAACCGAAGATATGGCCTGTTGGATTGGGTTCTGGATTCGAACCCAGATACCGCGATGGGTTAAATATCATTGGATCAGGATAGATAGCTGGATCATGTGTGAACCACCTATTCACAGAATCAGCTTCGCGAAACACCAAACTCGCTCTTTCAGCTTTGCGCCCTATTTCACCCATTAATGTATATGTAACTCACCAGACATTAGGCAGCACAATTGCTCCTTTTGGGATACGATACCCGTTGACAAAATCCTCGACAGTGGTAGTGTGAGGGCCGCTTATAGGGGCGACTGTGTGCCATCGCCAGGCTTCTTTCAAAACTGCCTCAATGTAGGGTAGATTTTCTCTGTCGTTAAAACTAGGGAGCCGGTCGGTCCCAACGACCCTGTCAATCTCCTCTCGAGCTTTGAGCTGAACTTCAGGAAATAGTGTCATGGCCAAGAAGAAGGACGAGATGGCGTTTACCGTCTAGTGTCTTTCAATTAGCCTTATATGATACTCTCTCAAAAGGAAGGATTCAACATACTGTATCCGCTCCGCCACCATATGTAGTCAACTGTCAATAATCAGACATTAGTATTCTGTACAAGGGGCTAAAAGGGGTTATAAAGGAGATTCAAACAGAGCTTAACCGCAACGTGAAGTACTTACAGCAGACCATTTGATATTATCGTTGTCCCAGCCGGTGACAATATCTTCCTTGCCTTCATAAAATTTTGTCACAAAATTCTTGTCCTTGTTACCTCGAGCCATTCGCTGCTGAGCGAACTGTAACGGCTTTTCTGATGTTTCCTTTAATACGGCATGCCACTCCCTACTTGTTCTTTTCCATCTGCCGCCGGGTAACCAATCCGGAATATATTTTACTGCGGATGTTAGCTTTAATAGCATGTCAATGACACGTGAGTAATAGGAACAACATACGGACAGGCATAACATCTACCAACCAGGCCCCTGGAACTACGGCGGCAGAAAATTGCTCCATAGCTTCATCTACGAGCTCGACTAATGGGTCTGGCTTGTGAGGGTCTACCGTATATCCATACACAATCTTAAGAATGATTGCTGCCGCCTCACTGATATGTTGAGATAATCCTCGTGTGTTAGTTTGGCACATTATGCAGTCAGGGAACAGAGTTCACGTACGTCTTTATATGATTAACTAGGGATTCTGGCTGCCGCAGAACACGAAAGAGAAATCGGTGCACTTCTGCCGTTTGCAGAGCTAAATACGGTGCCACAATCGCTTTAGTACCCATCATCGTATGCATGAGCTTCCGGCGAGCACGGTAGGTATCATTATAAGGCATTATGGGCAGACTTTGTGTCCAACCGACACTGAAATGGTTCAGCCTTTACTCAACGTATATTAAACTAGGCGATATAATCCACTTACCTCTCTGCGAAAGCCAATGGTGGTCGCGTTCCATATTTCAAAGACCTTTTCTCGAGCAGTTCTACAGCTAATTCCGGCGAATGTAGTATCACAATTGTTTGCCCTAATGCTGTGATAGAACTGATCGGGCCTGCCACACACCGAGAGTTAGTTATGAATGCGTTGTATATAACATGTGATAAGTTAGGGGTAAGTTCTACAGACCGTAGATATCCTTGTGTTTCAACCAGTGGTCGCATTCCCGTTCACCCCTCAAGGGAAGATCTAGTACGTTTCCTAAAATGGGGACTAAATAGCTTGAAATTAGTAATCCTCATCCATAAGACCTAGCCGAATGAGTCTGAAAGACTTTATCCACGGTTTGAAAGCAATAAACTCTGCGAATCATGATAAAACTATCATTACTGTATGAACTCACGGCCTTTTGGTCCTGGAGGTAAAGGGGCTGGCTTCTTTTGAAAGAAGCTAAGCGTAACTCTGATGACAACCATTAGCGCCGTGACAAAAAGGAGTGCGCTCCCAAGCATTTCGATCCTAGCGGCCATGGCGTAATAGAATCACAACTAGAGATCTATAGACGCACTTCTTGATCTAGTAACACAGAATTTAACAGGCAAAACATGACCTTTTTGTTTCCTTATATAAGGCTATGGGCATGCTAAGGGGTTGCAAATATGATGCAAGAACATGCACGAATTCCCCTTTTGGATGTCGCTTGTAACCCTGTTTATCCCGGCATAGCTGAACCAAGTATTGATTTTCTGCTAGCCAATTATGAATGCGGGCAGAGCTGGTAGTATTTGGAAATTGGAGTTTATTTGCCATTACTCGCATCAGATTCCACACGATCCCGCTTTCTACCCTACCCTAGATGCATGTCCACATTGTGACCTTGTTAGGAACCGTGGTCTCGCCTCGAGCTGGAAGAATCCAGCTAGTCTAAAGCCCTGCTGTATACAATCTGTACCGTGCATGAGAGCCCTGAACTGTAACCGCCTACAATTAGAGGTCAGCTTCGCTTAAGGTTTGCTTTAATGGGGTTTCAAGCACTTTTCAGCATCAGGTGTTTCTGATAGGGATATCGACGAATAAAGTATATCTCATAGACTAATGATCTACCTATCAACAGGTATAGTTTGGCACCCCCACAATGAATTCGATTGGGTCTAGAAGATAGGTATCAATCTAGATAGTAGGCATTCAATATCGTACCCGCTTCCCGCTGGGGCTACAGGGCTTAGTACAGTCTGTCTTCTGGTCTCCTGCATCTTCCCACTTAGTAGATTATGGCGACCTGCATGAAGCTCTGTCTTGGCTGAGAGAAACACGCCGTTAGATATTTAGTAAACGGCGCTTTATGCGGATAGATGTCTCCTCCACGGCTGGCACCAATCAAATACCAGAAGTGACTTTGGAGATGCATTGTACTGCAGACACAGGCGACTTCGAAGACGTAGAAAGAACCTATGCGTGGTAGATGTCTGATTGAACATTCCGGTTTCGAGCACGATATACCTTGATCATAGATAAATCAACTATTCAATTTTTTTACCTTACATAGTACATATATATAACATTTCTCCGTGATTTTAGGAGGCTTCCGAGTGGCTAAACCGATGCTTGGCATCATAGGTCAAGTATTATAGATGTATTCTCTAAGTACTAGCTAGCTATCGCTTTAGCTGAGCTCTGCTGGTGATTGGCCTCTGCTTTGCAACAGCATCTCTCGTCTTACTAACGTTGCCATTTTATAACGACAAACCACTACTCTTCAAACACTTGCAGTAGCTCGGCTGGCCTATGTTAGAAGCACTATGGACTTGAATTATGTGAATTAGTGTCTACACAGGATGTCATCGTCGAACGCTTCGACAAGGAGGATCTTCTAAAGGCCTTTATTCGAGACCCCTTTTTAACTTTGAATTTTCAGTGATTCAGTGTCTGATACACCTGGGAGACACACAGCGACACTGAAATTATGACCGACGGGTGTTTACCATATGCAATTTCAAATCTCGATTTATATTGATTTTTGCCAACCAACGATGAATATTCAGAACATTACATGTTGCAGTCGCTTGAGGACGGTTGTTGACGCGTGGTACTTAAACCGAGCGTTGTGGTGTAGTTACACAATGGTCTGATAGGCGGGCGTTTAGGTCTTACACACACGTTATCCGCATGCATGATACGCGGTGGATAGATAGGAGTTACCTACTACGCCCTAGCTTGTTGAAGGCTTACTGACGTACATTGGAGACTGTGAATACCGAGGGGTCGTGTAATGGTCTCAAGGGTCTAAGGGGGCTTGAAGGCGTCCGCGTGACGAGGCGGGACTTTGTTTCTTCTTCTGCGTTTACTCATATAGTCCAATTGTAATATACTGGCCAACTTATTCATCTACATATCTTCATCTGAGAGTGAGTCGACTCAGACGTGATGGCATGCTAGGATGGGTTGCTGGGCGTGAATATATGGCTATTCTCGGGACTTTATGATTGGTGGCAAGTATCAGACTTCACTTGCTGAAGCACTCTGAAAGTCGTAAGATGGAGTTCTTCACTTCAGGGTTGTTGTCTGCTACTATGCTGTACTCTTCTTGCCGGCTTTGCTGGGTATGAATTGATAATGGACCAACATAAAGGTGCAACGTTCTCGGATAGTTGGACGATAATAACATTACCTAGCGCTATTTTATTGAGCTACAAAACCACTGCATGCAGGATTCATTCTTCGACTAGCAGCTGACGATAATGATATTGCCCTATTAGGTTGTTTCCGACGCGACACAACAATCATGAATAATACCCGCTTCACTAAGTGTTTGTCAATTGAACGTCAACCATATTACAAGCTGACAAATCAATCAACACTTGATAATTCCGCCCGCTTGGCTAAGTGGTATAGCGTGTCACTAGTATTCACTAGATGCCATGACAAGATCAGCGGTTCGATTCCGCTAGTGGGCAGAACCTCATGATGTATCCGAATTGGTGTAGTGGCTAACATTTGACGCTCTCACGATCCAACCCTCGAATTACAGTTTAGAGTTGTGTTGGTGTTCCGTCAAGCCCGGGGTTCGATTCCCCGATTCGGAGTAATTAGCACATATATGTTCTTATCACAATTTTTATTGTCATCGAGTTGTTAAATGTACCTTTTGATTTAGGTATAATCAATCACTGTCTTCTATAGAGCGGCGTTGTGTCGACTTTCCTATGCTATGAGCGCATCTATTGTTCTTTTTAGAAAGAACCCGTTGCTTTTTAGGCTAAATAGTTTCATAATAGCGTTACCATTGAGCAATGGCTTTAACGAATCTGCATTGGTCAAAGGCATTTCTAGTTGTGAAGTCGGCCAGTCTGTTGTACTTGGAAATGACCTTGCTCACGAAAATGCCATTTTTGGAGGTAGAATAGGCGCTGGCGATGTTGGCGGAGTTTCATAGACAAGCTCAACTAGGCAGGAGTAGGCTACCTAGGGCCTCCATTTAGGACCTCAAACACGGATTGCCATGCCAACGACGATTCGAGATGGTGGTCTTTCAAGATTACGCGCGAGTTGAGCGATAGTACGGATAGCATCAAGATAATTATCGTAACGCACTGTCGAGAAGCTTAGAGACTTTGCCCGTAGCTTTGATGGCTTCCGTAGCCTCTTCGACAGCTTCCTTAAGCATTGCCTTTCGCAAACCGGCAATTGGAGAATAGACGGCCATGATCCAGAGGTTCTCGCGGGGTTCGCATTGGAGAGCCTCTGCAAAAGAACACGTCTCATGATTTATGAGGACGTCAAGCGCTTGGTAAGCGAATTTCTAAGTGCTTGGCTACGATTGTGCTTTATCTTGGACTGGCAACTTATTTTTCAATGTAGAGAGAACGGTCGGGTTAGACTTGAAAAATACCGGGTTGTAGAGGTTTGTTTCCAAGAACACATCCAAGGCGACTTGGGGATTCGGCTGCTTCATGATCTTGAGGACCTCAAGTCCAATCCGTTCTCGACTAACCTTCGCTTCTAGTGCCTCGTGAATTCGTTCGTCTTTCGTCCACTTCTCTGTTTCTGTATCAATTGTGTATCTTAGTTTGCTGCCAAATCGTACCAGACGCAGCACCCTCAGGGGGTCATCTAAGAAGGTCATCTGCGGTTCCAGGGGCGTTCTAAGAATGCATGCGGCCATACCATCCAGTCCTTTGTGGGTCAGATCAACTAATGCTTCCTTCCTGTGTATCAAGATTGAAAAACAGAGCGTTGACAGTGGCATCGCGACGAAATGCATCTTCCTCCGTTGTTCCGAATTCCATTTTTTGGGTTCGGCTATCCTCTTCGTATACCCCTTTCCGCAAATTGACGAGGTCCAAGTCAAGGCCGAAAATTGTGCCCACAGCTGTTTCTAGCTTCTTCGACTTCCCCAGATTCTTTTTCGTAGTGTGGAAGCTAGAGAATTTCGCGTAGGGGACTTTGAGTTCGGTCGCACGCTTCTTATATGATTCTTCGATTTTATATAAGAATTCGGTTAGGAAATGGCCGAAGCGCTCTCCGGTCATGGTGCTGAGCGCGATATCTATATCAGAACATGGAATATCCAGAAGTTTGTCGCAGACCCAGCCGCCTGTGATCCACATCTCCAGACTGACGGAGTCAGATACTTTAGATATCTGCAGATATTCTCGGCAGGCTAAAAGCAGTTCTCGGAGGAGGTTTTTGGTAGGCAGTAAACTAATAACCTCAAGGATCATAACTATCGCGCCGAAGCGACGCCGTTGGTGTGACAATAGAAAAGGATTACTGTATCTCTAGATACACAGACCCAGCGTTAAATCTTTTTAGCATAGATAAATTTCGTAAGCTTTGCCATTGCCGCATTCGTCAAAAGGCAGATCTCTGGAATTATTTCTCAATGAAGTTATCTAGCTCTGCTTTAATCAACTTCCAGGTCTCCTTTCGCAAGCGAGCATGAACCCAATAGTCGCCGTCATGATCTTTCTCATATATAACGAAGGTATTACTCCAGTTATCTGTTACTGGAGATACTGTCCCCCAGTATGCCACAGGTCTTAGATTATGACCCGGCAGTGACCTTTTACTATCTTTTGCGGCGGGCTCACCGAAATTTGCGTGTTCCAGTAACCGAGCTCTGTTCCAGTTCGTGAAGAGTATCAATGTGGTGGTATTCCAGCTTACGAACAATGGCGCTGTACCGATCCGAGAAAACCAGTCTCGGGTGAGACGCATCAAGCTACGCAATTGAGTATTGCTGGTCTGTTCCACGACAGTCCTGCGCACTCTAGACGCAATCTGGGATACTTTCAAGTGCCTGGTCTCTTCAGATGTGAGTAGTGTGGTGCTGGCGAGAACCAAATTCTGCAAATACACCCTCGGATGTGAAGTCGAACTTGACTTGAGAAGGTCGACCCGGCCACGCATGTCAACAAAACTATTGATGACGGCCGAACCCTTCCATTTTGCAGATGACAAAACCATATGTGAGCCCCAAGAGGTGATCAAGTCGCTGTCGCTTATGAAAGGCATCGCTTTATTTTGGTCTCCTCGAGCGACTTCCAACTCTCGTATAGCCTGGTTGCGAAGCTCTGTTAAGAAGCTGGCTGGTAGATAGATATGATGCGACTCGGAGCGTTGTGTCAGCGCATGAAAGATAAAATTGACCAAGAATATTATCAGCGATATCCATGTCGTTTGCCGATCTTCTAGCACAAATTTGGTATTCTTTGCGACCACATCATCATCAGTCCCTACCGATGCAAGAACATCTTGGGTAGGTCCCTCGAGCTTCAGTTGCAGCGAGTCAATACTCTGTTCTTGAAAGACATGCTTCCAAGCTTGAAGAAGACCGGCGATACCCATAATATCTGCAATCATGTGTGGGCTTATAAAGCTGACTAGTGTACCATCGGTAAAAGAGTTAATATGCAGACAGATCATCGGCTCGTCAGTAGATAGATAATGTTTCATTTCGTGGGGTAATGTTGATGGGTAACTAAAGTCGCGGAACAGCTCACAGCTGTCCTGAATGGAAGGTCTATTCCCCGTTTTCTTCGGGAGCCGGTGCGCAAGTGGGTGGGTTTCCACAGTCATATCGAACTTCATGTGGCTGAATCGAAATGGTGGGCGATCACTGCTGAATTGTCTCGGGACGTGGATTTCAAAACGCCGATTCTTCTTAAGACGAGGTTGTTAGCTCTTATCCGCAAACTAGGGAATCTGGCAAGGATTTTTGGTTGTTGATTTCCTGGAAGTTGAAGAGTCACTCACATTTCGACGGAGTCTGCCGGCAAGCTTCCTCCAGTCACCAGACTCCAGCAATAAGGCCAGGGAATCATGCAGCTTCTGCACATCAAGCACACTGTCGTATCGGAAAGTGTAGCTCATGAGTAATGATCGAGCAGGCCAGATGTGGGTTAGAAAATGGACTGGGTATATATCGTCTAGGTCGTTCGACGTCTTTGCTCTATTGCCGCCCAAGTCGCTTGCTTCTGGTATGCCCGAGGGGCTTTGCATCGTGCTCTGTTGTCGAGTCCTTATTTAAATGGCAACATACTAAGCAAGTAATATTAAACAAAACAACACTGTAGCATACATGATCTCTTGGCCGGTCCCTTTAATCTGAAGATGGTGGAATGGTAGTTTTCAAAAGAGGCAGGAGCATGAGAAGATATGAAGCAATATCGTGTATATCTGAGCCCCAGCACACTAAACTTTTGAATTAAACCCCCCTCTTAAATACGCGAAGGTCCTGAGAATGCGATAGTTTGTCGGGTCTATGGCGTAGGATGGAGTGTTACCGTTGCAGAATCACGACTTTTCTCTTGGGTGCCCGCTGAATTGTTCATCGACGTACCAACTGTTCTAGGAACTTATAAATCTTACCGGATTAGCATTTACCTCCAATGTTAACGAGGCCACATCATCCCCTCGCGGCCTTTTCCTGACAAGGCCGGAATAGCTACTCGAAGACCGAGACTTGCATAACGCATACGAAGCTGGCTATCTGAATCGGAATCCCAACGTAGACCATCTGGAAGGTGTGCCTATTCCGATACTGTACTACGTTTCACTAGTTTATCAGCGCAATAAATCAGCAGCGATGAATGCATCCAAGCCTTGAGTTTCGCATATTAGTCAATATGAAATGTTTCACTTACAAACCGGCTTTATGCACGGCAATGCAGCATTCGATACTATTCGTACTGTCAGACCTGAGCATCTCTTAACGACAATCTTGATAGAGTGTGGCAATGTATAATGCTAGAGATTTATATGATATGGCATACATTTGATGTTAACTAAGCTTTTCCCCTCCTCTCAACTAGTGGTAGGTAACTCTCGCTCATTGTAGTCTCATGAGAGGATCTCACAAGACAGATATCGGGTTGCGCTTGCTTAATTCTCTAGCGTGATGAAATGGTATAGTACGATGTGTTGTACAGAGGTCTCTCGCATGCATGACCCGACAACAAGGTGGGCTGGATATAAATTTCGGTAAAATTCAACATCTCGTCCCACACTAACCATCTCCTAAACATTTAAGACATATTGACGGACCTCCGAGATCTGTAGCACCGGTAATTTGTGAATAGCCTCCGGAATCTCCAAGCCCCTGGAGGGCTTTCGAATAGTCCGGTAGGACTTAGTCGCGGGTAATATCCCATTTTCAGTTGTATTCTACCTTCAAGGTGTCACGTTGAGTCTCTTGTTGTGGGGTGTGTGTGCATGGGACTAGATTAGATTGTCTCTTTGCACAAGCTCTTGACCTAGAAAGCTAGGATCCAGAAAAATAATCAGATCAAGATATTGTTCCTTTGTCACGTTTTGAGACAATGGCAATGTTCAACCAACTCGTGGATTGTTTATAACAAAGCTTTCAATATATATACGATGAACAGAGCCATTAATTTACACGAAAAAGGCACAAGTACATACTAAAACGGAAACGATTCATTACATATTTCAGACAACTACTCCTCTAACTCTGTTATTGAACCCTACTTCCCTCACAGAATGTCTTTACGGAGCCCATCTTCACTATCTCGAAGCTCTTCGGTGATGTCAAGGAGCTCGACATTTCGATCCCCTGCTAAGA